CTATGTTTACATACAAATAAACCAATCTTTTATATTACAGGCTACACATTTTGATTTCTAAATACAAACCGTTACTGTAACATGGAATCAGCATAATATTATGTTAATACTATATTCAAGGGACATTATCCATTCAACAATTACTCTTATCAGAAACTTAAAAATATTTAAAAAATATGTCAAATTATGTATGTTTCTGAATATAAATATATAGATAAATTTAAGATCTAAACAAAAATCATTTACCTAATTACAGTGTCAGTCAACACATTTTAAACATTTATCAGCAAATGTTTGAAAATTAAAAAAAATAACGTATATATTTACGACATTTATCGTCCGATTATAGATATATAATGAAAGTTATTAATGTTGAAGCAAAATGTAAATTCTCGAGCTCATTAACAACAATGTGACAGAAATAAGCTCAAATTTGTATTTTGCTTGTATTTTCAGCTTATGTAATATGTAAAATTGCTTTTTAAAAAATAAATATAAATATAAATATTTTTAAATAAAAACTACAAAGCAAAATGAAAAAATCAGTCTTATAAACAAACGCTGTCCATTCCTACTGGAATATGAAAAACAATTAGTTAGATTAAAAAAAAAACAATATATGTGATATGTAAGAATTTTTTCCGAACTTTTTTCTTTTGTGTCTTTATAACTAGAATTACAGAATTAATCTCAGAATAGCCAAAAGGTGAGAATGTTTTACTTTTCAAAGGAATTACATTTCCAATTTGTTCATCTTTGAACTTTCGTTGTCTTTTACGAGCTATTTGTTTAGCAACATAAGCAAATAAACATACAATTGTAATTCATCTATTAAATGATTGCACAAAGCCGGTGTAATCCATTCAGTGCTTGTCTGCCTTCTAGAGAAAAAGATGTTGAAATGTTCAGAAAAAAGCAATGTTATCAAAGTTTACCCGACATTGACAAATATAAATACACATGTATACATAAAAAGCAGTGCAATGACCATCTGAATAAATCCAAATATAACTACATGTATATGAAATTTATTTGAACACACCACTTTGTTATATAAATCTAAATATCAATAGTTAAAAGCTAAAATACCCTTGCTAATCTGTAAATAATACCTACAGGTCTGTTAAAACACTGACAATTCAATACCATGACAAAATGCGTTTTTCATCAGAAAAATAGTTTAAAATATGGGTCTAACTTTAATCAGATTAATTTAAAAATGATTAACAAAGGTACTTTAGTCTGTCATAAAAGTTACTTAATCAAAACATAAAAATGTTATTGTAAGTTACAAATAAAATAACACCAATTAAGTAAAAGAAGTACTACTTAAATTACAAATACATGTAACTTGCTTACAGATTAAACAAATCAAAACAATATTAACAAAAATTATAAACAATATAAATACAAAAGAAAAACGAAAGAAAGAAAACAAATTAATCAAACAAAAAAGAAAAGAAAACAAAACAAAAACCATACACAATCAAACTAGAACTATTACTAAAATCAAAATCCCCCTCTCCAATATCTTTTATGCCTTAAACAAGAACCACCACAAACGGGCCACACAACTAATCTTAAGGAAGATTATTGAAAGGACATTTAATAGTGATGGTCTGATACATGTAAAAAATAGTAAATTTAAAATTTAAATAAAGTTGAGTGCTGATTGTTGAGTTGTCAAAGTACACCCCCACATCAATTAAAATCAAAGTGGTAGCAAAGGTAATTAAGATAAAAAAGGGACCTTCAAGATCTTTAAAAGTTAAATCATATCCAATCCAGGCAGTAATATGACCTTGTGTATCATGTCATTATGTCAAATATGCACAAATTACTAAGTTTTACAGAATATATATCAATTTTCAATTGAAGGTCAAGGTCATATTTGAATTACATCACATAAATGTTTTGTTTAAAGTGTTGTTGTGTACAAATTGAAAATGAGTCAAATTATTTCATTCATAGATATATCATTTAAAGGTCAAGGTCATAAATGAATTGCTCCACCTGACGATTTTATCCTTGGTGGTGGTTACACTAAACATAAATTTAATTAGTCAATTTATATTAATATTATGGTTATTTTAGCAAAAATGCAATGATTTTGAATTAACATTCAATGTCATTTTAAGGTCAATATCATACTAGAATTGCGCAACATAAGTGTAAGTTTGTCCAAGAATTAGCCAAATCTGTCCATTTATTGAGAAAGTTATGGCCAGTTCTAGAAAAATTCGATAGTTTTACCATTTTAGATTAGGTTAAATAAGCTTATGGTAAAAGTCGTATTCAGTTAAACTTATATAAAAGGTTGTTTTGCCTAAATAATGAAAACAATACATTAAAAAGTTACAAAATTATGGCCAATTTAAGCAAAATTCAAATGTATGACCTTTAGGATAAAGGTCAAACTTGAGTTGCTCAACATGGTGTTTAATGTTTAGTGTTGTTTGTCAGTTTCATCTACAAAAACAAATATATGGCAAAAATAAGTAAAATTCAATATTTTATAATAAAAAACATTAGTAAAATTCAATATTTTTATTAAAAAAAATGCAACGTCATACAATAGCAAGCCAATGTCGAGTTTATTTTAACCTACATCAAGGTAATGTTTTAAAGGTTGTTATGCCCAAGAATAAATACAATACATCCATTTTAAAATTTCTGCCACAGAGTAGCCAATGTCAGCAAGATTTAAGATATTACCCATGAATTTCAATATCAAATTCTAACGGAATGTAAAAGTAGACAATGTCATTGTTTCCTGTCAAGTGTTATTACAATCGATTGAACGGTTTAACAAAAGGAACGCACACAGAGGCCAGGCAGTCAGCCTAAGACCAGTATATCCCCTAACGTGAGGGGTATACAAGAAGTTTCTAAATGTCAAGCATTATGTCACAACAAATGAATAAAAAAAGGAAATAACATCAGTTTGTAAAAAGATGACTTTCAGATATAAAATCTGAAATTGAAACGTTTAATTTCCGAAATAAGAAATTAAATATATAAAAAATTTATAAAACAAAATAGTAAAAAGAAGTGAAAAATAATGAAATTGTAAAGATATCTAGCAACAATTTATGTTGCTTATGGCATATTATATCAATATCTTGCATCAGGTTTTCCCCTGTCATTTGCATTGGAACATATTATAAATTAATTATTTTCCATTAGGTCAAAAACAGAAAATGGTTAGAGAATCTAATATTTATAATTAAGAATGCTATAAGAAAAGAAAGTCTGGCTGTTGTAAGGCATAATTAAATCAACAAAATAAATAAAAAGAAACTAATACATTATACTAGAATGATCTGCAACGTATGACATGCATTTTCAACATTTTAAATGATTGATTGAAAAAATGCAGATGTGTGTTAATTCATTTACCTCTGAAAATGCACGGATAAGTATGTAAAGCTCCAGCCAATAGGATAAAACATTTGATAAAGTTCGAGTTCTTCTGCAAATGTGGTCCATTAAAGGTTTCTTGCATACATGTAAACATTTGATCTGGTAATTTCACATTTCGTCACAAAGAGACCGGTTTGCATATCTTTTAATGCGCGAGTGTTGTGTCATTTCATAATGGAATGACTAAAGCTGACACTGTGCGGCGCACTGAATCACGTATGGTAAATGTGCAAGAACAGTCATGCGGGATGTTACAGGTGCATATTGTCGTCTGCGTTTATAATACTCGGGTGCGAAGTGCAAGAATGTTTGTTATAGCACATATTTGTTATGATGTTGTATGAGATTACATATGTAGAGCTTACATGAAACCTACATTTTAAAATAAAACCAACATAATTTTAACAAACAAATAAACACTACAATACCGAAATTAGTTAAAATGCAAAGTTAATGTACTGCAGTAATATCTAATATTTTAACAAGTTACAATTACTATCTGGATTGTATCAATAGATATAACACAGAAACAATATGAAATACAATTTATATCCATACAACTATAAGGACAAACATGTATATAAGTAACATTTTATTACTATATTTAATTAAATACAAGTTCAATCTTCCCCTAAATGTCACAAATCATAATACTTGTCTAATATATACACTTAATATATCTTATAAAGTGATCACCCTTTTAGGACACAATTTATTCTTAACTTATATGTGGTATGCCTTATTCAAAAACTCCAAATTATCCCAATTTCTTGACCATTTGAGTGACACATGTAATGGGTTTGGTAAATCTTTCAATTTATATACATCTCATGATCTGTTCATCAGCCAGGGCACTTTGATTTCCACACGTGCAAACTAATTACTAAATAATGGTAATTCTTTTTTAGACAGAAAAATGCAACTGCTCAGTCTTATTAATGGCGGTCACCCAAACAATGTTTTGATACAATTTTTAAGGCGGTCTACTTGCAGCATGATGAGAACTATCACAATAAAATTATTAAAGGTTGTTTTCTTCCAGTTTAGTGAATAAATTCCAAGAAGTATACTAAAATTCTTGGTTTATATCGTGTTTTGGTTTTCCTATAATGTTACTATAATAAGGTGACATATTCAAATATTCATAATATTAATTAATCAAATCAAAGAGCATAATTTATGTTCATTTTCAAGACTTTCGTTATATATTCACCCATTTGATATTCAGGAGTATAAGAATGTTTATAAACGCGTAAAAATCTTTTTTGTGCATGCAATCTGTTCATGATCGAATTTCCAATATATATTGTCATAAGACGAAACAAAACAGAAAAACCTATTATAAACTACTTTTAGGTTATTATAATGAGATAAAATGAAGATAAATATTTACTTTCCCTTCAAATTGTATATTACTTTTTTAAAGTCATTCCACCCGATAATATTAACTTTATAAAGAAGGAACATGCGTTGAAAAGTGGGCAATCAGAATAATAATCATAACATAAATATTACAATTTACTATTATAATAGGCTACTATACTTTTATTCAACTGTTCTACATTCGCTGGTTACTTCTATATTTGACGATTTTCAAGTTTTCTCAGACTTTCAATCGCATCTTTATCTGAAATATTCTGCCAAGACGCAGGGATATCGGAAATTTCTATGTCAGTGTCCTTTGTAATGTCCTTTGCAAACCTACTTAAATAAAGCATCCAAAACTTACAAACGGCATCCATATCTGTATTTGGTTCTATGTCCCAATTTTTGATGAACTGCTTATAATCACGGTATTTGTGGTTTTCAAGTGGACAATTCTTTTTCTCAGTGCCCAATTTACAAGCGTAGTCAAACACACAACATGCATGAGTTAAATCTGTTGAAGAAACTGCAAAGTTGCATGTACTAATACTAAGTTGTTTTGAACTTGACAAATGAACCCCTTTACATCCTTTTGGTTTATGCTGTATACAAACGTGAGGTATTTTGTCGGCATCGTGAATATCTCTAGCACATGGTTCACCGCAAAATGGACACTCTTCTGGACACCCCCAAGTATCCTTTATTACTTCTGTTATGGGATCTAGTTTTTCTGATATATTCCAAGTTACTGTTGTACTATCAATCTTCTGAAAATGTTTTTTAAGTTCCTTTTCAGATTCTTCTAGCTTTCTAATTATAAGCTCTTTGAGATTCTCGAAGTCAACTTTCTGTCGTAGAAGGTTCTTTAAAAGATTAAACTGAGAAGCAGATATTGTGCATTTTTTTAATTTGGACGATAATGTGTCAATCCAGTCATCCGATGCAGAACTAATCTCCACACTTTCACAATCAGATAGAGATCTTTTAGAAAATATTTCAGCAGTTGTAATGACTGACTCCTTCACGTCTTCAAAATATTCCACAATGTAGCTGTGAGCCGTATAGTAATACTTTTGTGAAGGCTTACAAAACAGAAACTTGTTACACCGTGTTGTGATCCACTGTGCAGCAAATAATTTTGGGTTATGATTATATTTGGAGAATAATGTATAATCATTCATTGTTAGTAAATCAGATAATAAGTTTGAAATCAAATGAAATTTCATTGAACCGATATGCGAACATAATGCAGTTTTGATATTCATCGTAAGTAATTGTATAACAGTCTTTTGAACTGAAGATTTGACTGAGTTACTGAACTCAGATGCAGCAGTTTCGTCAACTTTACGTTCATGAAGGAAGGACATAAAAATATTTTTCATTTTTTGTTTGTACTGCTGGCGACGTGCTTCTGGACCATTATGTTTATCATAATTTACATTATGCTTTTCGAACAAATTTCGGGCACATTCAGCAATCTGTATGAATATTTTTATTTCAAGTTCTATGTCATATGAGAATTCCTTAGTGACGCACTTTTCGAAACCTTTATAATACTTTTCTACTTCCTCAAAGAAATATTTTACACCAGAACCAGTTATTTTTACATTGCTTTTTAGTTGCCGCAAAATGATGATATCAACCATTTCGAAAAGATCCTCGATGTTATTTTTAATGAATTCTAATTTGTTTTTCTTGTTACGACGCATTCTAAAATGATCCCATACTGCATGTTCTGTTTCCTTTCTGTGTAAATATTTTTTTGTTATGCATAATTGTTCAAAAGAACCCTGTAACTTATCTGTTACAGTATTCTCATCGCGAGAATCTAGGCTTTTTTTCAACGATGGCTTATCTTTGTCAAAATGATTGTTTAAGTAAATGTGTATTACCTTTTTGATATCAATTGATGTAGATTCAATAAAGCTACGAATAAGTGATTGAGGAGCAATATCTGTCCAGATTTTTTCAAATTTTGAGTTTATTATTTCGTCTGAAAAGTTTCCTTTTAACTCCTTGGCCAGATTCCATGATCTTTTGATAAGATCATCTTCATTTGTTTTGTCCATTGTTGTCAAAATCTCTACAGCTCTATCATCATGAAACGTAGAAATTTCAAGTTTTATATTGCTTTTTAGGTCTAAGCAAGTAGCGAAAATGCGGGTCATTGTCATACCTTTCCAATGGACTTGTTGTTCAGAATAACTACTTTTTCTCAAAAATGCATCCATGTCTAGCTTCCATTCCTCTTCTTCATTGTCTATCGCTTTGTCGGTATTAGATTTAGCTTGGTCAAAGTCATAGTCTAATTGCTTGATATCAATAGATTTGGAAAACGTTTGTTTAGCAGATATACAACATTTTTCATATATTTGGCTTTCGATTATGAAGTGTTTCTTTTTGAAATATTCGTTTAAATGTATGTAAGCTTTGATTTCTATATTGTTTCGAAATGAGAAGACAAAATCTTCGGTAAGAACACCTGTCCATAAATCTTTCATATGGATTACCAAATCTTTCAACGTTTTGTACGACTTATTTTCTTTAGCAAAAGCCCCCTTAAACATCATGTTCTTTACATGATTAACATGCTGACTATATTCACTGTTAACAAAAGTCATAGGACTAATACCCTGCCAAAGTGATGGCATATAAAATACTTGTGAATCCATATCAAATTCTATAATTTCATTAAATTCACTGATGTTAGACACATTTTCCAATTGAGCAGCGTCTTTAGTTGCATCATTTAGTTTTTGCACTAATTTTCGTAACCCAGGCTTAGTTTTATGTGCAGTTAATATTCCACTTACATTCTGGTGTACAAAATAACACGACTTCCGAATATCCAGGGACTTATTAGCTTTTTGCAATCGTATAAATGCATGAACAGTGACATTAAGAATATCGTTTATTTCACAAACGTTTTCCCCCATGACATTAATAATAGTTACATCACCAAGTCCAGTAACAAATGTTGCCAATTCATTGTCATGAATTAAGTTATAATCATAAAGTTCTGTAGCTCTCAATCCTTCTGTATCGACAACTAAAACGTATCTAATGTTACATCGTTTGGTATTTCTTTGGGATATAGGAATTAATTGCAAATTCAGGCCCTTTGTACATCGCCCAGATGAAGCAGCAAAATGCGACCCAAACATCGTATTCAACAATGTCGATTTTCCAGAACTCTGAAGTCCTAGAACCGAAAGTGTCAGAACACTTTTATGATCAATTTTAAGTGAAAGGGACTCCAATATTTCTGCTACCCAATGAGTAGGCAAAAAGAAATTGTCACCATCTACAAGTTCAAATGTGTATCCAATATATAACAATTCAGCTGCAATAGCTTTCATTTTTTCAACGGGGGGGAGGCAAGAATCTTTTTTTAAGATCAAAAGCACATCATAAATATGATTTATTTCGCGGAAAAGATGCTCAGTACTAAAGGAAGATTTTTCTATTTCATCTTCTGCTGCCTTCTGTAAGAGGTCGACTTTTTGTTTAACAATAATGGCCGATAAAGCTCTTGATTGTAATCTGTCGATGTCTAAGTTGCATTGTGATTGTATTTCGTGGACTGTTGACATCTTTATATTTGCCAGCATGATATTTAACCACCCAAGAAAAAACTGGAGGGAAAGATCACGTGTATGAGTCTCGCAAAGATGAAATGCAAATTTCCTTACTGTAGATGTCACATTATCCAAGCAGCTTTGCCTCCATGAAAGTAGTTGTTCATCAATATCCTTAATTTCAGTTTCATATTGTAAACGTTGTTGCTGCTTTATCAAAGGTGCTATACGATTTGATATAGTTGTTTGAACTGGGGTAATAGTTGTCTTCCATGGCTTGCCTGTATCTTTCATTTCTTCAATGATACTCTCTGCACGTTTTTTCCCGACTTTGCACGAACCGCTGTTTTCATCCAAATCAATATTTTGAGGACAAGATGTAATGCGGGTATTCAATGACACTGTGTCAATTTTCATGAGAAGATTTTGCAATTTCCGCTGTAAGATGCCTGTCATTTCAAAAGGATTTAGTTTTCTTTCACCTTTGTAAGTAGAAATGAATTCACAGATATTTCCCTGCGATTGTATTTTTGATCGGAATGTGTTAATAATCGGTTCGTTTCTTCTTATCATAGGATTATCAATGATAATTATCATCGATGAAAATTTTGACACATAGTCATCTGTACGCCACTTAGATGTTTCATGTAAAGATTCAATATCTAACAGTACAACTAAGATGTCAGTCAATTTAGACACAAAATCTAATGCTTCTTTCTGAAACAGGTGTAAGCTGCCTCTACAGTTTAAAAATGTGACAGGATTGTTAAACCTATCCATTGAGTTACCTTCTACTGGAAGCCAAAATATTTCAACGAGCCCTTCACTATATTTATGGATGGTCATTTGTGGTGCGCAATTTTTATCAAAGAATGTCTTGCAATTATTTTCTGATAATAGCCAGTTTAGCATTTCTGATTTAGAATTATCTGATTTTCCGATACGCGCAAATGTTATAAGATTTGTTTGGTGCTCGTAAACGCCCTCTTCAACGCTTAAATTTCTTTTTGCTTCATTATTTACATACCTATTTTGGATAAAAAGACATCTTAAAGGCCAAATTGAGACAACCGATCTACTAATCAGTGATGAGAAGTCATGAAGTACATGTATAAAAGGGACTGCGAGTTTACAAGAATAACACTTTTGAAACAAAAGTTGCTTTAACATTGGATCACAACATTTGTAAACCGTAATGAAAAGATCAAGTGGGTTTATCTCAGTATCTTTATAACTTTCTGTAAATAACCAATCGCTTTTTAATTGCTCTAATTGCTCTTGACTTCCTGATCTTTCTTTAATTAATGATGCTACCCGATCCCTTGCTTTACAGTCAACCCCAAGAAGACTTCTTAAAAGTATCCATGGAAGTTCGGTCATTTCTATTTTTGTCTGGTCTTGATCAAACATTGATCCATTTTCAATATCGATTGTCATAACACAGGAAATGCCGATCTTGTTAGGGTAGTAATCCATGAGTCCTAAGGTTTCAATGAACTGTGCGTATGGAAAAAGTCTATCTTCATCGTGCCCGGTGTCCATATCTAAATGTGAATGCAAATTTAATTCAATTATTATGGTCTGGTACACAATTAACAGAACATCATCTGTAAATGTTAAAAGACAAACACTGTAAATGTTAAAAGACAAACAGGGGGGGGGGGATATGGAACGCTTCATTCTGAGCGTGTTTATGTAAAACACTTCTGGTTGATATATATTATAAACTTAATGATCGGTAATGATTAGTAAATATTACACGTGCGCTGCATCAGCCAAATATTAGCAAAAAATAGATAAATACAGAAACCCTAAAGAAAGCCCAACACGGCAAAATTGAAAATGTTGCAGGCTCGGTTTGATTGAGCCTGTTCATGGACGGTACTGGAAAGTGCAAGTTACCGTCCACGCCCCCTAGCACCGGCTTAAGCAGAATTCAACATTTAAACATGAAATAGTAAAATTTTGAATTTAGAAACATCCGCAGGTGTGTTCATACGGCGGTTATCATGGAACCTGCAATGTGACACTTCCGTGCCATTCCATGAAAAGCGGCGTATGGTCCCCAAGTAATAAAAAGCGTGTGCCCTAAACGAGAAAACAATGGACGGAACTAAATAAAATGGAATTTTGAAAGGGGATCAGAGGTTATGAAGCCTGCGTATCACAGATAAGACGTCAAAAGACAAATTTAAAAAGCAGGCAACATATCCTAAGGGTGATTCAACATTATTCAAGTAGGAATATTGGAACCGCCCAACTAGAAAATGCCGAAATGTTGAAACTAAAAATACCACAAGCACAACAATAATGTCGTGCTGAACGATCTTCAAGGATCGAAAATATAACATCATTGATTAAATGTACGGGGAGACTTTTTACAGCCGCCACACGGCACAAATGACACGGATGTGATCATAAAATAGATAAATACGGAAACCCTAAAGAAAGCCCAACACGGCAAAATTGAAAATGTTGCAGGCTCGGTTTGATTGAGCCTGTTCATGGACGGTACTGGAAAGTGCAAGTTACCGTCCACGCCCCCTAGCACCGGCTTAAGCAGAATTCAACATTTAAACATGAAATAGTAAAATTTTGAATTTAGAAACATCCGCAGGTGTGTTCATACGGCGGTTATCATGGAACCTTCAATGTGACACTTCCGTGCCATTCCATGAAAAGCGGCGTATGGTCCCCAAGTAATAAAAAGCGTGTGCCCTAAACGAGAAAACAATGGACGGAACTAAATAAAATGGAATTTTGAAAGGGGATCAGAGGTTATGAAGCCTCCGTATCACAGATAAGACGTCAAAAGACAAATTTAAAAAGGAGGCAACATATCCTAAGGGTGATTCAACATTATTCAAGTAGGAATATTGGAACCACCCAACTAGAAAATGCCGAAATGTTGAAACTAAAAATACCACAAGCACAACAATAATGTCGTGCTGAAAGGCTTCTTTGCGCCTTTCCAAGATATTATTGTAAAGAAGAGCTGAATAAGCTATGCATTTCAAAAGAGTATTTTAACGTTGATTGAAAAAAACAAATGGAGAAAAACAGAATCATTAAGTTAAGCCAAACACGACGCAACTGAATATATTACAGGCTTGGTTTGATTGAGTTTTCATTGCAGACAAACATATTTCCTTTTCTAAATATATCCGTCTGTGAAGGTTCTTTTGTGATACTGTCTTAAGCATGCTCTGATTGCTTCCAGAACGACATATCGTACAATAGGAATGAGAAAACAAATTGACCCCATTTAACATATAAACGCTTTGTTATACAACTGGATGAAATTTTAATTTAGTAATTATATTCTTGTTTAGCTATTATATATGTTTTGATTATCATTATAAAAGCAAAATTCAAAAGCTCACCCTTATTGTCTACATCTGAATCTATACAATCTACATCCGTGAATTTGTCGTCATCTTGAGTTTTCCTTTCTGGACTGTGGAAAACTGCTGTAAATGTAACCTCATCTACAATCAATTCACCTTTAAGAACGACCTCATTTGCAACTGAAAAATGAATAATAAGTGTTTATCACACACCCGTGCAGATTTTGCGACTCCGTAAATATGGTATTGCACGGCCGTGCATATATTTTGACGTGACGTCATTAGCGTTATACAAACATAGTGTAAAGACGCGCTAAATGTTAGCGTTATACTATAGGCGCGTCAATGAAAAATGACTCTTATTTCACTTTAAATGGTCTTTATTTTGGGTATGTGATAAATAGAATATTAAATTCGTGTAAGTTCATTACTGAATTTATTGCACTCGTTGAATAAAATAATATTATGCTCGCCAGAGGCTCACATAATATAATTTTATTCAACTCGTGCAATAAATTCAGTATTGAACTTACACTCATTCAATATCCTCTATTTATTACCCAAATTATAGAATTATCAGGACAAGTATGACAATATTTGTAAGATTTGAATATTGTCTTTACAATATATCACATTATATGATATGCATTTATAAACAACTTATTAAAATCTGGAAATGGGGAAATGTCACTTGTAGTATGGACAAAAAAATCAAACCTTTCTCATCTTTGAATGTAACAAACATGGTACCACTTTCTTGTGATGAGAATGTAATGCATAAGACTTCACCATATGATTTTTCCAAACATTTAGATGGTTCGTCTATCGAAGTCCAAGTCAGAGGTGATCCTTTTAGCTCGACAGTATACGGGGTATGGTACGGCTCTATATCGACGATTTTCTTCTTTATGTTAATCGGCCTCTTCTTCAGTACCCTTTCAACAGCTGAGATAGAAATATATTTAAGATATAAAAGTCTGAAAAATAATACGGACTAAGACCTCTCTACCTAAAGATGGGTACAAAATGCAAAATTATAAAAGCAATGCTGCGGAAGGAAGAGTGACATCCAAAGAACGCAGTCCCAACAAAATTCACCAACACAGAATCCCCGACATATAATTGAGTCATTAATAATTGTGTATCTTAAACATTATAAGAAAGACACTGCGGATGATCACGTGACCCAAATCGTACAATGGGCTCCTAAAATGGCGGCTTAAACGCTCGGTAAAAGCAGTGAAATTGAGGTAAGCATACAGTTAACGTTGATTTTTATGTAAAACTAGGCCGCACGGAACCCCTGTATAAAAACCACGTATTGTTCTGTTATTGGTTACTTTGTTGCTCTCTCTGTTTAGGCCTGAAAGTCGAAAAAGTTGTATCGGGTGATGAGTACAATTGCCGAAAAGGTACTAAAATGCGATGTTTTCAGTAAAATAAACGCATTTTGAGCAAAATTAGCAATGACATCTTTTGCACAATTGCAAGTTTGTCCGTCATAAACAATTTCCATCCTTTGTTAAGTTGCATAACGAAGCTTTACATCTTTTAAAAAACTAGTACAATGGTCGAACTGAATTGAATGAGTACAATGGCCGAACGATTTTATTGCCTGTCCTATTTCGTCATTTTTTTCCATTGAATTATGCTTGTTTCTCGCTTCCTGTCTTTGAAATCATTCAAATATATTTGAAAGTGAAAGGTAGGAAGAAATATTTAATTAAATAAATTCCGTTTGCTCGCTATACATTCTCATCTTAATAGTATTCTGTTTCTATAATACACCTGTACATCTGCATAAAAGTATTTATCACATAATACGCGGCGCAGGGGTGTAATAAAGCCATTTAATAAAAACGATATAACACTAGTGTATTAACACTTTGACGTGACGTCATTTGCGCTATATATAAACATAGCGTTAAAGCGCGCTAATGTTAGCCTTACACTATTGGTGCGTCATTGAAAAATTACTCATTTTAACAGTTTACTGTTCTTATTTTATATATGTGATAAATAGAATATTATATTCGTGTTGATTCAATTCTAAATTTATTAAACTCGTTGAATAAAACAATATTATGCTCGCCAGAGGCTCGCATAATATGATTTTATTCAACTCGTTTAATAAATTTAGTATTAAACTACACTCATTCAATATCCTCTATTTATAATACAAAAAATACAAACATGTACAATATATAGAATTTATTCCACCAGCAAAATATACGTTTCAATTACATACACAAAATTGTCAATTATTTTTTGTTTTTGTTGTTGTTATTTTTGTATTTCAGACGCAGAAAAAGTGGTTCCTTTAAATGAAAAGCATGTTTACGTATATCTATGGAATATATACCTGTAATGTATATTTTAGATACCAATATTGTGCTTATATCATCATATTATGTAATTCTATATCTTTGACAGGAAAATGGGAAATTTATTTTATGTGTTTTATTTTTGGCCCGGCACATTATTGGCAAACTATAGGGAAGGACGATCAGCTTATGTCGTCATGGCCAGTACACTCAAGGGGGAAAGGCAAACCCCATAAGATCCCTGTGGGATATATTGTTATTAAAGTTTTCGGCATATTGCCCAAAAACAATTAGGTCTTGTAAAATTACATTTCAATACATGAATACATAGCTGTCTGATTATTTCTACAAACGGCTTTGGTGTGGCAAAGATGGAAATAACACAAAGAAAAAATTTTTGGTTACATAAAGAAAAAAGTATTAAGAAAAACGAAATAAGATAACATGTAGCAATTAGCAACTGCCCTATCAATTTGAAGTGGCCCACAAATGTACCCTGTCTGCGTTGAAGAAAATGAAACGCATTACATATGTTTTCCAAAAAGGATTCAGTTTTGAAAGTTCAAAATTTCTTATGATATCAAATGTTTATGAAACCCCGGTTATAATAGCCCAACACCGTTAAAAACATAACATGGAAGCCATATTTTACATTCAATTATCTTGATAGTATTTCTAAAATTTTCGTTACAGTTTTTGTGTCAGTTGTTTCAGAGTATACAACCCCATGGCGGAGCAAAAAACCATTTCTTGGCTAGTTAGTTTCGCCGGACAAAAATCTGAACTTAAACAGCAACACAAAGTTATTGGAACGCGCAATAAACTTTATTTGACGTTTTCTGCACGTGACAAATTTTATCATGAATATAGCCAAAACAAAGCCTGATGACCTAATAAAGAGGCACTTTTTGTGACAATGGACTAGAACAAACAAAAAGTTTCACCGAGTTTGCCTTTTGATTATTATAGACACTTTGATCAGTTGATTACTCAAACCCCTGACTATATATGTAGGCTCTTTCCAAATACATTTGTATTTCATTTTGCCGGAATGGGAAGAAAGGTGATCAATCAGCATTGCCCTAGTTCGAAAAGCTTTTGGCAGATGCTGCAAGTTAGAGTGGGTTACTATGGAATAACTACTTTGTGTTGCTCAAGTTCAGATTTTGTCACAAACGAACTGCTACATTCTTCACACTGATGCAGTTTTGCTACTCATCATCCAAAACAACTTTTTCGACTTCAGGCCTAAACAGAAAGAGCTATCAAGTAACCAACAGCAGAACAGTACATGGTTTTTATACAGAGGTTCCGTGCGGCCTAGTTTTACATATGAGCCGTGTCACGACAAAACCAACATAGTGGGTTTGCGAACAGCATGGATCCAGACCAGTCTGCGCATCCGTGCAGTCTGATCAGGATCCATGCTGTTCGCTTACAAACCCTATAACAAGTAGAGAAAGTGATAGCGAACAGCATGGATCCTGATCAGACTGCACGGAAGCGCAGGCTGGTCTGGATCCATGCTGGTCGCAAACCCATTATGTTGGTTTTGTCGTGACACGGCTCATATAAATTTTAACGTTTAACTGTATCTTCACAATTTTACGCTTTTAGAGCTTTTAAACCCCCATTTTTGGAGCCCCTTTTACTTCGGCAGGGCAATAATTTTTATACACAAGAAAAACAAACAAAAATATCGGAAAAATGAAACTGAAATTTTCAAAAATGGAGAAAAATTTTTTGAAAATTTTATGATATTTGAATGAGAAAAACCCCAAAAAATATAATTTTTTTTTAAATTTTTTAAACAAAGGTTTTTACATGCAAAATTTAAACATTAAAAAGATTAAATATAAAAATCGTCAATTTTCTTTAAAACTAGCCCTAAGTTTTTATTCTCAAAATAAGCATATTGTGGAATTTTTTTAAAAATTTAATAATAATGCTTAAAGAAATTTTCTTTTAATTTTATTTTCATAAAAAACTTTTTTAACCCTGACTACCGTTTTTTTTTAAAATCAATTAAATTTTATGCACTTTTT